AAATTTTGTAAATTTTTGCGATTATACCTACGCGATGGTATAAGGTATTTACAGTCTTGCGTAGTTCTTGTTGAACTTTTGCAGTAATTAAGAATACACTGTCGAACCATGATTATTTATCACAAACAATAAGTCTGTAAACAAACGATAAGGTATAGGTTAGGTTTATACATTTCTACTTGTAATTATTAAATGAGTAAATTAAACTTACACTTATAGAAAACTACTAAAAAAAACCAAACAATTAAATATAAATATCACAATAAAAACTATAAGTATTCCAAACTTAAACTAACCACAGCCGTTATTTATACATACTAAAGATAAATATGGCTGCGCGTTGCATCGGAAACTGTCCCTCCAAATCAGCCAATAGCAACCCTAGCAATATGTATAGCGCGTCCCATCTTAAGGGTCTCTATTTCCTTTTACTGTTACCCTTTTTTCTTATTAATAGTCATATTGATTTTATATCTGTACCATAACCTATTTTGTTATTGTTTACTACTAAATGTCCACCAATAAATTTTGTGTATTTTAATTTGTTGCTTATTTTTGTTAATTATTAATCTAAACAGTAATTAAGACTTTCCTACGCTTGTTATTATAAAAAAAAATACGTAAAGTGATTCAAAATATATTAAAAGAGAGAAATAAATGATAAAATTTATTAAAATGTAATAAAAAAATTTTTTTTTAAATTTTAAAACTTGAAAAAAAAATAGTAGTTATCGAAGGCCCACGGCCAGACCGGCCTAAAACGTAAAATTAGTAGGTTTGCTTTAAAAATTRTGAAGAAAATCTAAATATGCACTCACTTTAAAAAATGCAATTTAAAGTTTAAAAATCGAAAATTACGTATTAAGGCACTATAAATAATTTTTTTGAATTTTTTTTCGAAAAGTACATTGAAAAACAAAACTTTTATGTAGAATGGTAATTTTCATTTGGATGAGTTTTAAAAAAGTTACGGGCTAAAAACCACAGAAAGAGCTGTTTTTTTTTTAATTCGATATCTTAGGAACGGATGATCAAAAAAATGCCAAAATTTAGGAGGAAGGGTTTTTCGATGGGTACTAAAAGATATCCAAAAATGGCTGAAATCAAAAATAAAAATTTTTAAAACCGTCCGATTTAGCGTGGAATGCCCCATATACTATACATATTACGAAGAAACTACAAGCTTGACGTGACGACACAATCTTTTCGAAGATKTAAGGTTCTACTTCGAGGATTCGTTGAACAGAGCAAAAAATTAAACGAGCTTTCTTCTTGGCAAAAAGCTTTAACTTACGCGATTTTTCTCGCACAAATGTCGTCGTCGTCGTCGTCGTCGCCTCTATTTGTCCATCAAAAATCTCGGCTTCTTTGAAATAAACGCAGATAAATATGAATCATCGGTTAGGGACTAAAAAGGAAATTTAAGATCAATAATAAATACAAGGAAAAATAAAGGGAAGAAAAAGAAAAGTGAGAGAAATAGTAAGATAAGCTTATTATCGATTATAAAAATATTCTTTGATTCTTATCTGCAATAAAACGAAGAGATAGAGAAGGAGATGGGGAATTTAGGTGGTTCTCGTATCTCGAATTTTACGCACGGCCTCCTTGTTGTAATAGATTCGCAGGAATTATGGTTTTCCAATCGTGTCGGAAGCATCGACGCGTGAATCGTGTGGCATCAATCTTGAATGGGCAAAACTCGAGATACACGCAACTGACTATGCACACACACACACACACACACACACACACACACATATATATATATATATATATATATATAGGAGTTGTAGGAGGTACACGTGTATACTCGCGCCGATAAACACAGTGAGTTTCTACGCCAATTGGATAACGTATGTTCCCCTACAGTAGGGGCGTACGAGACCTCGGAAACTAGGATTTTATTTCTGCTTTCTAGTCGTTCGGACGACTGTTTTCTCAATACACAAAACTTTCGTGTTCTATTTCATTCATTTTATTTCCTTCGATTCGTTCTATCTGCAATCAGAGCAAAATTACCTACCTACCTACCTACCTGAAATTATCAGATTTCGTTGATCAATATCAATTAAATCGCGATTCGATAGATATTGAAGCTCGTGCATATATAAATTAATTGATTAATTAATTATTAGGGAATTTAATTATCATTTTTTTCTAATCAGTGTGAAAGACAAAAAAATAATCTTTCCTTTAAAAATGTATAAATTAAAATAATTAAATGTTATGTTTTAATAGAAATTTTTAAATAGACAAAAAGGAAAATAACCAAAAAAAAAAAAAGAAAAAAGGAATATAATATATCGGAGGAAAAGGGGAATAATTTCTTTAAAGAACTCTATTCTTCTTTAACCGAGGGAGCTTGATCGATGAAAGGGCATCTTTCTTTCTCCTTTTTTTTATTTTTATTTTTTCATCTTTCTTCCTTTATAGGTCATCGTAAACGCAGGTATTCCAGCTTAAAAGAAGGAAAGAAAACGACGAAAGAGACCAATGAACGACGCCGACTACGACGTATAATTTCGCATTCGAGACTTCCGTACTTCGTCATCGTTTTCTCCATCCTTTTCCTTCTACCTTTCGTTGAAAGAGGTGAGAAAGGAGTTCTCCATCCGAAAGGTGAACGAAAATGAATAAGCGCAAGCGACTTTCCACGAAAGTTTTAAGGTTTGTGATTTATGGTCCACGGCGTATAACTGCTCCGAAGAGAAAAAGAGAGAAATAAATAAATGACGAATGTAGTTATATACAGGATATACTATGAATTCCGTCAGGTTATCGAATCGAGAAAATATAGCGAGATGAAAATGTTTTTTTTACTCTTTTATATTCTTTTTTTTTTTATTTTATTTTTATTTGTATTTTTTCCAAAATTCCTTTACCATGGATCGACTCCAATGGAAAAAAGAATCCAAGTGTTACGTTCCCACAGAGAATCGAGTATTGCCTTGATTTCAAGATAATTTCGTACTATTCATTGTACGAGCTTTCCAATCTCATTTAACGTCGCAATAGAGCGTAAAACATGTACAAGAAAGAGAGATAGAGAGAGAGAGAGAGAGAGAGAGAGAGAAATCTTGTGAAAGGAATTTCTTATCTTTTTCTCACAAAACATTTGTTCATATAACAATAATAATTATTTATGTAACGTTTAACGAGATAGTTTTTGTATCGTCGTAATAATTTGAGATCGAAGGATAGATTATTTCATTGATCGTAAAAGCCAATAAAAGAGAGGAAAAACAATTTATTCGAGTTTTAAAAATTCAACTTTGCAACGTGTAATCTACGATCCGGTTCAGTTATGCGGAACTAGAAGTTCGAGGAGAAAAAGAAAGAGAAATAGAAGGGTAGGGGAGACATGGGAGGGTTTGAGAAGGTTCGCTCAGGGAGAAACTCAGGCCGAACGTAATATCTGTATAAATGGTTCATACATAAGGAATCCCGAATGGAATGTCAGTTTTGCATTTTGCAGTAGGTTGAATGCCAACGCTGAAAAGTCCTGCTGTTCGTACTCACATGTGTGAGCGTGTAAGTAGTACTAAACGTAGAGGGCGATTATTCGCTAAATCTCGAATTTAATTAGATATAATGGTAAGTAACGATAAAAGGAGATAGTCAGGAAAAGAGGAATAGAAATAAAGGACAAAACTGGAAGAGAAATGTAGAGAGAAATATAGGACGAAATAGAAAGAGAAAGAGAAAGAGAGAGAGAGAGAGAGATAGAGAGAGAGAGAGAGATAGAGAGAGAGAGAAAGTCGATGTTGTTGGCAATGATATAATTAAAATACTCCCATCGGATAGATGAGCTAACCTTTCCTGATAATCCTAAGTTAATGCACCAAGAGGATTCTAACTCAATGCTTTTAAACAAGACTAGATATTCTTTCGCGAATTTCCGACTACCTTCGTTAAACTTCGTTCTTTTCCAGCACTTCTCTCTCTCAATAGCGTTATCACCGATAAAGATGATCGAGGAAAGCGAGTGAAAATAATTAGTAGGTATTTCTACAATGTGCTGAGTGGGTTGAACGAAGGGAGATAGGGATTGGGGATAGTGAGCTAGTACTACTCCGAGAAAGAAAAGTAATGATTCAAGATGCGAAAGTCCAATTTCAATTACGTACCGAAGACAAACAGTATGGGCACAGTGCGTGGACGGTTTGCACATCGAAATTGGATGAATTTCCGGTCGTTCTAGTCTTCCACCTCCTCAAAGCTCTCTGAGTGTTCTTCGGTACTTTTCAAAATCCTCCCATGAAACAATGAATTCCCATACGGCGGAAACGAGCAAACGAACTAAATAAACTGTACTAACGAACGAGTAGAACGAAACGAAACGA